CCATTATAGAACCATTAACAACTGTTCAGCTACATTCACAGTAGTGTTTCTCGGTTGAGCAAATCAAAATACACTAGGCAGATACATCCTCATATATGAAAGAGTGAAAGGTGGCAAGCTATTGGTACTCAATCAATATTAAAACTACGTCAACATTGCTATACTACAACTATGAGCTACAAGTGTTTTTACTTTTGTATTAGGTTACATGTGCGAATTTGATCCCGCAGTATTATCTTAACGGAGGACAAGTCTCTTTGTTCTAACCCTATAAATCTTGAAACCAGTGCATTGTCTGACATGTAACCTTTGGGACAGTCGTGAAGAGATTATTTAAAGAGCACCTCCTCAATAGCTGCTTGGATGAATGAGCGATTTCGTAAATAGACAGCACGCTATACTTCGATTCGAGCTGCAAGCTGGGCGAGGAGTTGCGTTATCAAAATCAATGAATAAACGTAGTTATATATACGTAATATATCATAGTTATATAGTTAATCAGAAATAATACACTTGTTGACCTTCAGTCACAATGCCGCATTTACAACAATCGTCGGTCTAATTACTACAGGATCCTTAACACATCAATCCAAAATTGGTGACAATAACGACATAAAGTCTTGAACAGCATTTCACTGACATATTTACTAAAACGTGTTAGCTGAATGTTTGAGGCAGTACCAAAGAGTTTCAGAAGTAGACAGTCCATAATTGTGTGAAACCCATGAGCACTTGTATCTTGCTGTCAGATCAAAGATCCTAACTGGGACGCAACACTGCACAACAGTACCGGGTGGGGCAAACTCTTTAATAACACTTAAGAATGATTATTAATGATTGGTAAATGAGGTTTTAATTCTATAAGACACAGGAAAACATCGATCTGTTGATAGCATATACATAGTTGAAATGCATACGTTCGTAATCGGAACAATATCAAATATGTTTTACACTAGTACACTCAAAAAGCACTTCGTCACCAGCTTATGATCATATCTATTTTACATAAACACATGCAAAGGCATGTCAATTGTTCAGTTGAAAAAAAACACGCGACCATATGATACATGTCAAAATAGGGATCAGAATGTTTGTCACTGATGCGTCATATCTGTAAATGCCCTTCACATGTCTATCATGAAACTTTTTAAAAGTTTTATTGAGGACTTGAATGTTTAAACCTTGATCTAACAGCGTTTATGCAAGTGTCATATGGCGATGTTTGGAAAAGAAATTTCGATTATGCCTCAACAGTTGTGAAAACATAAGACACCAAAGGCTCGAGTTGCTGGAATATTCCTCGACATAAAGTGAAAGTTTAATATTGAAAAATTGAATCATCCCTCTTGTCACACAGTTTTGTTGAGAGTTAAGTTTTCTGTCATTCTGAATCATTATGCACAGATCTAACTATGAAAGATGCGGTATCACTGGTGTCCTTTATTTCTAGTTCAAGTGCCAATGCTTATGACGGATGACAGTTAAGCGATCACGAAAACAACATAACTATCATGGTATGATGATTGTGTCTTGTATCACATGTGTTTCATGTTTTAAATTCATGACTCTTCATCAGAGCTGGGCCCAACATGTATAACATTTTCAACAATTAACAAAGTTAAAGTCAGCGAGGGGCATACATGTTCGTTGCCGGTTGTTCATCACGAAGCGCACGAAGAACGAGGTGCACAATATGAGTAAATTCTATATTCGAACTAGGATGCAACTCCCCCTCTTGTTCAGTTTTCTACTTGTTTTGTGCTGTGTCAAATCGTCAAATGTACCCTTGTCATCAACCTTTTTGACATTCGTCTGGGAACGTGGCTATTCATCACACCTCGGCCCCATGTGCCTGACTTGTTCAACAACCAGCACACTGGGTGTTTATACCTCCTGCGGAGAACGTGTTCTTGTCGTCAGAACAACATCTTGCTGGGGATCTGTTGCCAACAAAGTATAGTGGGTATGTACTCTCATAGATGTCAAATAAAATCATGATGGATTTCTGCAATGGCTGCTAAGATAAGGCTGTCATTGACTACTGCCGAGTACCTACCACGGTCCAAGTAAACAATACGTGAAGATCCTAATGCTAACCAAACATAATTCTATTCAGTACATGCAATCCTCAATTTTTGTTAAACGCATGAATCTTCCACGTGCAACTCTTTAGTTTCCCTACTATATATAGAAGCTAAATTTACTTAATGAACGTCCATTGTTTCAAAAAGAGCAACATTTCATTCATAAATACGCGCCTAAGTTAAATGTAAGTGCGTAAGTTATTTGTCCATTGTCACTTTGGTATGGTGACGTCATATTTCTCCTAAATTTTATGACGTCACGTAACTATATGTTACTACTCCATGTCCGTAATTAAGTTATGGTCGGATAATACTCGTACGTGGTACAAGTTGAAAGTGCTAGCCAATTACAACTATGTTCAATCTTACTCCACTTATTTAATTATTACTATATTGTGCCTGTGAGTTTACTGTGCTTTTTATATATATATAATTTTTAATTTGAAGTTGACACGATATACGGGTTTTCCATTGGACGAGAGGTCGGTCACATGTCCGCGAAGTGGACGTTCATAAGTGTGTGAACGACACAATTTGACGTCCATACGTTTGTGTTCTTGAAATAACGTAAACACTGACGGACTACTTCAAACACTCCTGGCGAAACCCCTGGGAATTCCCTAGCACAAAAACATACATAAGCGTTCTTTCTGATCATTTAGAACCTTTATTCTTGGTCTCAGAGTTTCAGTATACATTGAGAAATGTCAGAGAGCGTGACTGCATGATTGTTCACGAATATCCTCGCTGCGGCCTATCCTGATGAACAAACGAAGAAATGCACATCTAAACTATCGTAGTATCGACCGTGCCTAGGCTGACATTGACCGTCTCCAGCAATCTATGAAGTTACCTTAGTGTCTGTTTGACGCATCTGTATTCACCTTTTAATGATCGGCCAGTTGATCAATGATGCCCCAAATGTAACCACCACAGGTTCATTAACAACTTCGGAAATCTCTCCCGTCACGTTTATCGTGTCGGCCATTTTGACATCTTGTACTTGATGTAAATGTATTACGACGCGCTGTCGTTGTGACTGCCCTACTGAGGTAGTTCTCTATAGGCCTTTCTCATCTAATAAGGATAAGCTCCGACGTTCATACAGTTTGGCCCTAATTCTATAAAGGTTCATACTCCAATGAACACACACAAAGTGTAGGTCAATTCTTATACCGACTGACTATATATATATATATATACATTGATCATCCAAAATCATTCTTCAATTTTTTGTCAGTTTGTAAACATTAATATACATTGCCTTAAATCTAAGAAGTAGAGGTAACCCGCTTCAGTGGCAGAGCGTGTGTTCATGTGATAGTGACTTCAGGGTAACCGATAGCGTCTCAATGACCTGCAAAACATTGTGAATTAATTCATGGTAACGATATCTCCGTCATTCCACCGAAGCGATATCTCCCGTTGAAGCTTGTTTGGTATGACCAAAAAAATAATATGAATTTCCATTTTTATTTCCAAAATCATGGTAGAATCATATTAATCTTTAATTTGTAATAAAACTAGATGGAAACTTTGTCGAATATTTCAAACTATATGGTTCTTCAAATAACTCAAAGCTGTTTATAGTTTGATCATACATGAACACCCTTAACCAATGAAAATTACTGAAGGTCAATGATCTTGTTACATTACTATGTACTCCTTTTGAACCACACGTATGCAATTTGTCATCACTGATCATATTCCAAAGGAAAGCGTTGTTTTCACTTTTTGAAGTCATTTTGCTGCTAATGTGACAGTGGAGAAGATCCACAAGAAGGCTGAATAGTGTCATATCGAATGTCTATCGGAACAGTATTTGCAACTGATAAAACTGAGATGATTGAGATGTTCAACGTTTAACTATGTGCCGTTTTCACTGTAGATTAAGTACAGAAACAGACATTGTGCAGTAATTCATCTAGAACATATATCGGACCTTTCGAAACTGGAGAGGGGATACTTTAGACAAGAAAAAATAATATGTTAATGATTTGTAAAGAGCTTCACTTATTCAGTCACGAATACGAATACAGATACGAATGAATAAAAAAGGCACTAAATACTTATTTCGTCTGATAAAAAACCCATGTCCACTGTAATTCATACATGTGTTGCATAGATCAGACAAAATGTGTTCAGTTGTCAACATATACAGTGTTGATCTCAGAATGACACCAAAATCGCCCACAAATTCCACTTTACTTTTTTTCACAAATATACTCTACCATTCTATGAATAGTACTTTCTGCTCATTTGAATTGCGACCCCCTGACATTTTGAAACCCCTTTTTTAAATCTAGCAAAGTCAAATGTTCGTGAAACAATAAATCATTAACGCATAAGAGTATAATGTTATCTCAAGTAAATGCCTTTTGGGGCATATACTTAAATTAACAATCTTAAGGACAACGTAGATATAGGACAATACAAATATCAGTTTGTAAATTAAATGGATGGAATGACGTTATTTCTCTCGAATCAATCCGTCTGTTAGCCCACAAAAATGCATTAGCGGTCAAAGGCAACATAGACATGTTTTTTACATATACGACAGTTTGACACCTTTAAAACCGATATTTCATATATAATAAAGAATAAAATTGTCTTAAAATTAATCAAATTAATCATATGATTAACGAAGACACACCAGACTAGCTTCATGTTGATCCCGTTGCGGCAGGCCTAGCTACGACACACATTTAGGTCAACGTGAAGTTGCCTTTTCTCCCTTGCAGAGTTCATATCATTACCAATTGCTTACCATATCACACATTGGTATTCGCAATTTAGGCACGATAGCACAAAGAATATTAGCTTATCCCAAGTTACCAATAGGAATTGTAACTAATGTACGTGACTCAACATTCATCATGGCTGTGACACTCCCTTTACCACTCCTCCCAATCAGAACAACATTCCTCAAGTAGACGTCGCTTCAACGTCCTATAAATGGAATGGACTATGGTCACAACCCCCATTGCAACCAAGGACTTGGTGTTTGTCAATATGAAGGTTAATGCAGCAGAAAGTTTAATGTTGGGTGAGTATTCGTCTAATTAGTGATTGTCTTTAATTATTTCATGGAGTATCTTTTGCAATCAGTTTTATCATGCCATGGTTGTTCCCTTCTATTTTGACACTGTCATCAATATATCAGCCCAGATACATACATGCTTTCTTGAGAGGCTCTACTAGGTACAATGTATATATACATAAAGATATCATAACGTTTACAGATGATGAATATAATAACTCACTATATATGATATTTTTACAGGGTTAATCGCAACTGTATTGATGTTAAGCAGACAGTGCGTAGCAAGTAAGTGATGCACAAACAACATAAATGTTTTCCTTTTCAACATCTTATTAATCTAATGTATTTTCCACTGTGCAAGGGGAGTAAATACCTGCAATTTATAGTCACATTCATAAAAGATCTTACAGTCAACCGTCCTGTTATTGAAACAAATGCGATTGAAGTATATAGATTGAAGTATGTAGAGGCAGTCGATATAACTGAAACACCTATAATGCTACTGAAACACATTTATTGCTAATGCTAATGAGATATTACTTATGTGAGGTCAAATAATATCTTCATAGTACTGTACGTGGGATCATGTGGCATATGAATCGCAGTAAAAAAAAGGTTCTATTTGGAAACGAGAAAACCTACAGACACACAAAGGATTAATGTCCGGGTAAAACTTGGGAGCCTGCTGACAATGGGACACAGTTCTCCACGGATAATTATGGCTCCTTAAACTGTCAATCCTACACATTCCTCTGGTGTGGCTAATTGTGATATTGAACGATGGCATTTGCAACATTTTCTTAATATCCTTGAATTGCCTTTAAATATGTTTATTTTAGGTACTACCTGCGATGCTAATACATGCAAAAATGAAGGAACATGTGATGATAGCAGCGGTACAGCTGTCTGTACATGTGCGCCTGGCTGGGATGGAAACACTTGTGAAGATGGTAACATTATCATATTATTCTGCTAATTCACAATAATGAAGGGGTTGAACCTGGTGAAGCTTACAGTCGCATACAATCACATTTGTATAACCCATACGTGTATGCATACATGTATATGTGTAAAACAAAGGCCATCCATTAATTTTCCACAACATATAAATATAATCCCCTTCGACACCTATTGTTAAGAAACCTATTTTCACTGTTAGGAGTTAGTGTCTAAATGATAGAACCTGCGATACAAGCACAAGTAGTCAAATATTCTGTACCTGTGATTCAAATGTTCTGTACTAGTGATTATGGAAATGTGTTTTGTCGCATGTATTCTAGAAATATGACAAACAGCAGGTTGTGGTTCGCTTCATTTTACTTCAAAGTGCTTTCATTGCATGTGGTCACTACTCTAATGTATGCAATATCCATTTTAATCTCTGATGCAATGTGTTTGAATAACCAAGTACTGTCAACGCGTGGTTATGTTTTCCCGTGATAGAAGATAGTAAAGTGCTACAAAATGGTAATAATACTTACAATGATAAGTTTTCTAAACAGTTTTAACCCACAGACCACAGTCACCGTTTGTGTATGAGTTGATGCCCCTACATCCTGTATTAAACCTATTAGTGAGTGACGTCGTTTGAAATAATTTTCGGTAGAGTTTGGCAAGAGGCCTTAACATGTTTATGTTAAATTTGGTCTCATTCAGTATTGCACGAGTTGTGCTTCGGAAACTGACTGAATAGGGAAACAGGAGGAGGAATTCCTTGTTTTCAGTTTATGTCTCTGATTGGTTACCATTTATAGCGGTAAATGTGATTTGCCATATAACCTCATTTGGCTGCGCTTATTCAGCTGGAGCAATGAAGACGTGACATTGTGACGAACGCTCTGCATTTCAGCGAATTGCCTATTTAATTCTGTGGTAGTGATTCAAATGTTCTGTTATAGTGATTATGGAAATTTTTTTGCCGCTGCTATTCTAGACATAAAACAACAAACAGCAGGATGTTGCTGGATTCATTGTACCCTTAAAGAGCTTGTCTTGCATGTGGTCACTCATCTAATCTATGCAATGTCCATTTTAGTTTTTGATGCAATTTGTTTTAAAGACCGATGCTAGAGAAGACACATGCAATCTAAATACGGTCATCACGTGGCTATTGTGACTCTTGTTAAGACTCGGCTTTGTCAATAATTACTTGCAGATATTCATGTACAGGGGTATTTGTAATGTGTCTCCTTGTGTTTCACTATAAGTACAGGACATAATCTAATCTTAAGACACTCTCAGTGCCTGCGATGTCATTCCTACGTGCAACAAAACTTTAATGTGTTCATCTGTATACATTTTTATTTTCTAACTTGTGCTGAAGAGGAATCGGTTCCATAAACTTTATAACCTTGGCAATATAGGGAAATGATGTAATGCTGAAGTCGTTCTCACTGTTCTTTACCGAAATGTATACATGCATCTTAAAATATAAATAGTGGCAGTGCCCCTTGACATACTAACTTTTCTCTCAAAAAACAATAGCTTACAATCTAATGTATTCAATGTCCATTTTTAGTTTGTTCGGCTAATGAAAGAGCCGAAAACCTATTTGTATTCAACATTATTTCATCATACTTGTCATCCTGAGGAATTGATATACAAAAATAACATCAACATATATGTATCACCCTGACTTATCATGCATTACTTTGCATGAAATACTTAATATTTCTGACAGTTTCGTGTGACAACAATCCATGCCTGCATGAAGGGACGTGTGCAGTTTCAACCCTGTCTATTGTCTGCACGTGTGTCACTGGCTACGGTGGAGACAGATGTGAACTCGGTAGGACCTCTCTTGTTATGATCATTAAAAGGATGGAATAGAAGGCAAACGGCAATCTTATTAAACACCTAAACAAAGAAGATGTAGATGAAATCACAACATGTTTCATAAGTATGTAAAGACATATTCTAGCTCTTACTGATGAGGTTATGATATGTTTAAGACATACACGTTATTTTCGATATATTATATATTATGTGGTGATTACATTGTCAACCGTCATGAAACGCCGGCATGGAATCGCTAAAGGCATGCACAATGTGACTAAGACACTTTTTCTTTATCAAAATATCAATGGCCTATTTGACATAATTTTCATGATCCTTGTCATCCTCACATATTTTGGTATTTCAAGCTCCAAAGTGCACAGATACAACTGCCTGTGAAAACGGAGGCACCTGTAAGGCTGACACCAACACTGACCAGCATATCTGTTTCTGCGCTCCAGGCTTTGGAGGGGACCTATGTACTGACGGTAAAATTATGTTCATGTACAGGTCTCATAATTCAACCAAAGCATTGTTGAATAGTCTATGCTGATGAAAATAACCCCCTTCTCTATGACTTTGTTTTAAGAGAACCGTTACCGATCCCGTTAGTCGACTTTTACAACAAGCATAGTCACCTTTAACGGCAAGCATGGGTTGCTGAAGACCTATTCTACCCCGGAATCTTCATGGGTCTGGGATAAAGTAGTAAACAACTGCTGCTGTTGTTTTAAACTACTGTTTGTTTGTAAACAATCAAGGTTTTTCCCTCAATGTTTTTGAACTGTGTAGCAGCGTTTGATAATATACCAGGAGGCAAAAGAAACTCAAGGCGATCTTTGTTTTGCCACTGTTGCAATATCATGTTGTAGTTCATGAAAGTTTGCGAGCATAATCGTTGCAATAATAAATGGTCGGTCTCCACATCCAATGATTTTCACTTAATAACCGAAAAATACCTTTCATTTTAGTGCCGCTGTGCAAAGACGATACTGAATGTGAAAATGGTGGAACCTGCAACAAAGACAGTGGCCAGTATGTGTGTGACTGCATCCCGGGTTATGGAGGAGACACGTGTCAGCTTGGTAAGAAGAACAGATGAAGTTTATCATTTTATTTCGTAAAACAATCATCACACAGAATTTGCGAATCCTGTGATATGCATCCAAAGGCGAGTCAGTTGTTCCAACGAACAACCTGGTCAGGAAAAACTTTCATGCAAGAGTCGTATGATGCACCTTAAAACTGTTAGTGGTTTCTGACAGGAATGTTTTTCTTAATGCATATCCCTCCCTTTCTTTTGATATTTCAAGCTCCAAAGTGCGCAGATGCGGAACCATGTGAAAACGGCGGCACCTGTAAGGCTGACACCACTGGCCAGCATATCTGTTTCTGTGCTCCAGGCTTTGGAGGGGACCTGTGTGCTAACGGTAAAATTATTTCGTGGACAACTTCACAATTTTTTTCATAATCTATATCAATTATATGAATCATCTGCCCCTCATATTCCTGTTTCGATTACCGTTACCTCCAAATACTAATAAAACGTAACAGTAAACATCATTTAGAGCATGATGACAAAAAGTTCAATAAGAGGAATTCCTTGTTTTCACAGTATATGTCTCTGGTAGGTTACTATTTATGGCGGTAAATTTAATGTACCACGTGACCTTGTTTGGCAACTCACACTTCAGCTAGAAGAATGAGGAGACATTGTGACCAAGGCTCTGTATTTCCTCGAATTGCCTGTTGTATTCTGTACCAGTGATTCAAATGTTCTGTAATAGTGATTATGGAAATTATTTTGCCGCTTAAATTCAGCAGGTGCGTGCTGGATTCATTTTACCCCGAAAGAGCTTGCCTTGTATGCGGTCACTCCTCTAATCTATGCAATGTCCATTTTTTTTATCCATGTTTCACAGGAAGTACAGTACAGGAAATAATCTTGTCTTGACACTCTCAATGCCTGCGATTTAATTCCTACCGGCAACAATAATATGTTCATCTGTAGGCATTTTTTATCTTGTCCTGCCTAAAGAGGAATCATTTCTATATATCTCATACACCTAGGCAAGATATTGAAATGAGGAAAGGGTGAATACGTTCTCACTGTAACTGGCGGAAATGTACGGAAGCGTAGTAGGGCCACAGTGAAATTTCGTTTGTCTAAGTATCTCCTACGTAGGACTTTTTATCGTCTACATAGGACTTTCTATCTCCAACGTAGGACTTACTCTCTCCTACGTAGGACTTACTATGTCCTACGTAGGACTAAATATCTCCTACATAGGACTTATTATCTCCTACGTAGGACTTACACATTAGTAAATGATGAACATAATAATGTAACAGGCATAATGCAGACATGAATGTCCTGTATTTCAGCCTCAGGTGCTGCTACGATATCGGGGCACTTCCTTCTGCTCACAGTTGTTGCTGTCCTCGCAAAGCTTAACCTCAACTGAACACAACCGGACCGGAAGAGTTTGTAGTAGTAGATATAGATTGTATTGAATGTAATGACTGATTATTTGTGTTAATTAGACAAGTGCTTAATGTGGTCACAGTAATATCATCCAATATTTTTAACAGTAGATCTAGTGTACAGAAATTACTGATGGTTTTCCTGATGACATTTACCAAAAGTATTATCCTGATCAGAAATTTGAACAGCGGATTAAGGGAACATATTTGCGAAAAAGAACCCACGCAGCATATCTGGAAAGGAACAAGTCACTATGTGCTATTCGGGCCTGCATTTCAGGGTTATTTTGTATTTGTCTGTTTGATTACAATTTAATTACCTCACTGTAGATAAGAAGACAAAATTCATCCCTGGTTACTTTTAGGCCACTGATGACATGTTACTGATGACGTGGAACTCTCCTCCAGTGACCACCGACACAGAGTAAATGTTATCTTCTTCTTACCTACTGTGACAGTGAGCAATTATTACCAAAGGATGTTATTCTATTATTATGTATAACGTGATGGATAAGGACTGATTTACTTTATAATAAATAAAACATGCATGCCATTTAACGTGTAAAGGTGTTTCTTTGGTTTGTCACAAAGTCGGGGAAAATGGGCTAGGAATAAACCACAACGTGATGACTTGATATTAAAATGTCGCATCGGCATTGCCTCAGCCACACAGTGACAAGAACGGGTTTTAGAATAAAAAAACATGTTTTCAATACATCAAAGTTGTAATTGAAAGTAATTTGAAAATATATTTATCATAGCAACAGCATTTCTAACTGCTAAAATCAATAAGCCACCCGATTCCCAAACTCGGCAACTCGTACCTCTATTTGACAGTCACTATCTGACAGTCACCCTTTCATCACTTCTTGGTCCTGATGCTCGACTGCATGTGTCCAATGCCTCGCATATTATACAGAGTCCTCTGGACAAGGGGAAGTAATCCTGGAGTATGTAGTATGAAGCGCACGTACAATAATCATGACAGGGATTTAAGCCACTCACAGCAACAAGGATTCATCATCATGAGCAAACCTTGTGTGGCCAATACGTCGCCTTGCAATGACCTCATCGTAGTTTGACAGTATGCATGAGCGAGTAACTCTTGCTCCTTGTGTTTGGTTTCTTGTCACTGTATGGGATAAGTAGTGGAAATAATGGTTTGTCAAGAGATGTAGCAAGAGAGATACCTAATAGTCAGACATACTTTTTTTCAAGAGTGGAAAGTTTTCTTCAAGTGAATTGACAACAAAAAAGTCCCCAGCCCCCTCCCCCCCCCCCCCCAAGACATAATTAATACTCAAAATATTCCAGCTATACGATGGAGGCTTTTATACAAACAAATTTTCCAGGCACACTAGTTTTTTATGTCATGCACAATGTCCATGAATAAACAAGCCTGACTACCCGATCTATTTAGACACCTTGTACGTTGCGGGATTCTCAGAATGTAATCATTAGTTTATCTGTTCCAACTCGATTACGGGCTTCTTTGAACAACAAACTATGTTTTATTGATGATCTTTTTTCATTAAATATAACATAGCTACATGTACGTGACAAATCGCAAAGAACAATGAAGAACTAAGTGTTGATAGTTTCAACATAAAACATTGTTCTATCATGATGTCATTTTGGGAGATTCGAACATGCGCTCAAAACTTGATGACGTTGTATATTGGAGGAAGTTACTTTTTGAGAAGGACGTGTCTGGTAGGTTGTTCCCCAGATGGTCTAGGCAACACAGAATAAAGCGATTGCTGAACGATCCCATTGAAAAGCGTGATAGATATAATAGTCAGTTTTGGAAGAAAAGGTTCAGGTAATTGACACGAGGAATGTGAGGATATGCGGAAAATCCCCACCTGTGCATAAAATTGACTGTCTAAAACTGCGGAGGTCGGATTCTATTGAGCGAGTCTTCATTATTTGAATAAGGGTAAATATGTTTAACGCTTGTATATTTTATCATCATCCTTTTAGAGGCTGAACATAATGTTGATATATCATACCAGAAAGAAATGACTCGTGGTCGTAATTTATCGTAAACCAACATGGTATATTCTCCCTGCAGTGTTTAATTGTAATATAAACAAGGACCACCAGATGTTTATTTAATAAATACAACGCATACTCTAACCTAGGTTTTTTTAACTTAACGGCAAAATAGCATTGTAGTTTTAAGTAAAATATTGTGAATCATCATATAGCATACTTGAGTTATGTAGCTCAGGTCGTGACATAAGAAAAAAGATGTTCGCGAAAGAATGAGCCTATCCTGCCCCACCAGTGGTATCCGTCACAAACACATGCCAAGCAAGCCATCTGAACTTCACCTGATTGTGACCTGTGACTTCTGCACAAGGTCACGTGCCGCCACACCCATTGACCTTTACAGAGGTCTTGCATGATACCTTGATTATACAATATTTAAGCCAGAGTCGTATGACGGAATATTCGTAAAAGGGAAAGTTTACTATTGGAAAGATGACGTCATCTATCCCTCTGGTCACACAGTCTTGTTGAGAGCATTCGTCACTCTGAATCTTTATGCATTGATCTCCTTATCAAACAGACGAAGCGATCTCACTTTTCTCCTTTACTTCTAGTTCAGGTGGATAAATCAGTGGAAGAGAATTGGCTATTTAATGGTTATTGAACCATAGCATATCATAGATATACTAGTACCTGAACCTCAACTTCTTGGCCAAATTATTTTGCATATAGAAACAGATCCGCCAGAAGAGGAGCACAATTGGTGCCCGTGGTGATGCCTACTCTTGCCTAAATGTCAAATTGTGCTAGTTGCCGAATTACAAATGATATTCTTTTATAGTTAAAAAACTAAGGTAGCATTTTTAGGTAAAAATCAATTAATGTGCATGTGATGATAAAACATTCTCCTGCCCTTAAATCTGGATATGGCATTAGAATGATCCACACTAAAGGGTATAAATGACATGCAGTCTTTAGAATTACTGGATCGCCATTTCAGTCTGCCAACGTTTCAGAACGTGAATGTGAATAGATTTATATCTGTGTAATTCTTGAATACATGAACAAAAATAAATACGTATCGTTTTCATATATGATCTTATAAAGGAAAGTTTCATGAATTCTTTTCTCACAATGTTGAAGCAAATTTTAGTTTCTATCACACACGCTAAACTTTAACCTGACCACTTATTACAAAATGACACCTAATGCTACTTTAGTGCATCCCGACCCTCTCTTACACCTTCGTATTATCTTAAGAATACATGAAGTGATATATCCAATCTGTCCAAAGTCTGGCTGCCCTAAATGTTTTGTTTTTAAAGTTGTTCTAACTGACAAGGTTCAGAGTAACATAACTGTTATATGTAAGCATCACTACATTAATAGTTTGAGAAAAACAAAATGGATACAAGTGACACACCAAATAGTGTCACATATAAGACAAGTATGTAAACAAAGGGAGAAATCTGCCACACATCAATACTATCAAATTGTGGCTTTAAAGTCATGCCAATTCGTCTTTTTTACTGGATTTTGATATCCCTGTCTCAAAGATTACTCAAAATCCTTAATACAACCGAGGAAGGCCTTTCGTTTAAGATTGTATCCACAAGAGTGTATGACAAGAGGGATAACTTTATCTTTCCCTGTCCATGTCGGGCAATATTCCGGTAGCTCCAGCCTTTTTTGTCTACATAGTGAAGTACAATTGAACATGATCTTTCTATTTCAAGGAGGCTCATATGCCTTTTGCTCAAAAGTTTTTTGACCAGGGTTCTGCATTCAAGGCTTTAGTAAAGATTTCAAATCGTTTTTGGTATATACCTTAATTTAAACATGTGGTTTGATCACTATTTGATAGTGATTCAGAAAGATAGACTCTGGTTTTAGTTTCATGTTTACAGCCTTTAAATGTATATAATTAAATTTTCGTTGTGTTTATGGAAATTCCTGCATTCTGATTAGCTGAAATGGTCACGTGTTATTGCATTCATTTCCCAATGAATGTAAAAACTTAAGCCACGCCCACTGCGGCGCACTACTTTAATTACTGCGGAATGTCGGGGAACCCCAATATTACAGTCGAGGGAATTCCCTTTCTGCTCACGTGTATCGCCATGCACAGGACATTTAGCGACTTTCATGCATATTCATTGTCCAAACTACCCTTTGTAACCGAAGGCCGAGAATGAATGAAACAACAAACATGTAGGCTCGCTCGCCTGTTTTTTCCCGCTAGCCTCGGTTCAACTTTCATGTCTTCGGGTTTCATTTCTAACCAGCATTTCTCCAACTGTGTTTTACCGTAATCAGGGAAGGAATGTTTGAATTACGCAGTAAATGACCATGTTATTTGAAACAGCCGCCTTCTCTCGGACATATTTCTTCCGGTTCGTTACAGTCTGACTGTTGCAGTTCTTTTCGCCTCTTGCCTTAATTGACAGGTCCAATTAACATTGTTTTAATCCCACTCTCCGTTGATTGGCTACTGACTGTGTAGGCGTGTCAAGTTATGGGCATCAATTTAACGATCACCTGATTCATGTCACGCCACTGTATGCATTCCTACACCTGGAATGTTTATCAATGTCGTCATGTTTGTCTGTTTTGATATATGCAACTGTTTTGGGTTAAACTATTGTAGATAAAACATGTTTTACGTTGTCGAATTTAATTATAAGCATTGACTTTATATTTGTTTAGGTTCATTGAGGTATGAATCGAAAAACCGATGGGCAAACTTTTGTAAGAATCGCGGATTCATACAGTTTCCACCTCAGTTTTTCAATTCATACCTCAATGAACCGTTAAAAATACACAGTCAATCCTTAATTAACATGTGACAATACTTCACTTGTGGGATTCCGATGGATAGAATAGCTCCCTAGGACCCAGTACTTTCTGGTTTCGTCACTAATATATTCTTTTAAAAATCGGCACGTCTCTACTGTTACAAATGAATATGTTAACATTATGTCCTGTTTACTGATCATAAACCTGTCAGTTGAAACGGGAAACATGTTATTATGATCTAATCTAATAAACAAAATCGCGAACTTCAAACGGGTATCCATAATGTTTGGAGAGAACCAGATTCCTGTCGAAATTACGAACTTTACAGCTAATCAGTGATTTGTGGGGTGCTTCGACGACTGCAAACTTCAAGCTCACTCTAAACGCTGTTAAGCCGTAACT